GACTGAAACAACTTTTTTTTCAGGCATAAAAATGTAAACTGGTGGCAAATTAGTGTTATAATATTATGAATGAATTGACTCCATCAATTGACAGGTTATCCATCCTTACAAAAAAGTACTTAATGTTTCATTCACTTGATAGGTTGAAATTGAACTTTTGGCGTGAAGCCAATCTATTGAAAACACCTTTCCTAACTGAAGTAAGTCATCTACTGATGATGCTAACTTGGTTAGCGAAATGTGCGTCCAGTGTCAGTACTTGTGTTTTGTTCTTTAGCAAAAAATTAATATGGTCTGCTATGGGTTTGGTAATGGATTACTATTGGATTTGTTTATTGCTAACATTTTCATTTCTACGTTGAGAAAAAATCAATAAAACCCAGGAAAGAAGTGAAAGATGTGGAGCAAGAAGTGGAATGAATGCTACTTACTTAAATATGTGCTAAAGAGAAAAGTTTTGAAATGGAATTTACAAAGTTTGTCTAGAGTACACGTATCATTCTTAGAGGGAGTTTCTGACGATGATTAGATTTGTAACTCCCTCGTATATTTAGACCTTCAATGAGTGAATAACGGAAAATCAGTTGATATACGCTTTGAATAATATAGTATCACCTATATTGACATTATTGACCTTTGCCAATTTACAAATTATAGCGTTATTCATTGACCCAATTCAACAACAGGCACCATGCTGCATTTACAATCATCAATAAAACGAAACCATCCTGTAGCTACACAAAAAACACATCCAACAGTTACAAGAAGCTATGTTAAATTACCAGGTCTTTGCTGCAGATGATTCTGGTCCGTTACTGAAATGTAACGTTACCTCTTGCAAATATTTTATTCATTCGTTATATGTAACCAACAGTGTTGCCACACGTCAACTGTCAAATGATCCGAAGGTTGGGCTCAAAAAATCCACTTCTGTCCCCGTGTAATTGCCCGGTTGAAATTCAAGCATTACTTCAAATCATTCAGTAGTTTGATTTTTCAGTGATTTTCATATTTTAGATTGTCAGTATTCGAAATGTTACAAGGTGATCTTTTATTCAAACTAAAATGAAAAAATATGTCAATACTGTATTTTACAGAACAACAAAATTCAGTCCCACTTCATTTGGAGCACATGTATAGTTTTTATGTTGGTTATTCTGGGTATTTGCTTTGAGTGACAGCTGTCATATGTGGTTGATATTGTCCATTTTTGAGTTTAATTTGCTTATCTATTATCAATCAGAAATCTCTATATCTAAGCGAGATGAAGGCGTGGATAATTATTATGACAACTGACACCAAAGACAAATAAACAGTGTAGCCAACTCTGCAGCCTCAATTATGCTTCAAGCAGCTGTCACATATTGTCAAATTAACAACGATTAGTCACCAACTGTAAGTCTGTTTTTCGAATCAGTGTTTCATAGCACTCGTATGAGTATCTGCCAGGCATTAAAATATCCGGTATTCGAATAGTTATCAGGAGAGTGGCCACACTGGTTACCAATTTCATCAGAAATAAATGATGATTCTATAGATAATTTGCATAGGTTTATGTTAAATATTTCGGAAACCACAATTCATTGCAACTTTTATGATTCACTGCATATGCAGCGTCATTTCCGAATTCTTCGTTTGTTAGAATGTAGATATGGACAGAAACTATCCAAACATCGGTTCCGTGAAGAACTGGATATAAAATTGTCCATTCGCATTTCTTTATCTAATTCATCCGTGAAATTTGAATTTATTCAAAATTCAATTTTCAGATTTATGATTAAATTGGCACACCAGCAACACACAATGTATTTTAGAATTTTTCTGACTCTGAACTCTGGCATATATTTTTTTGACTTTCAACCTGATAATTCAGAAATAAAATCTGAAAGTTGCATTTGTAACTTGATTGTTCTGACTTAGAACTTGGAATTTTCGACTTGAAACATACAATTTTTAACTACGGAATTCAATTTCCACCTCGATTTGTACTTCTAAATTTCGTGTGCAAAGACTAACTTTTCACTGCTTCCCTTCCACAAGAATCAGTGATCACCACCACAAGACCAGAAATGGAAGTGATTCATTGCCAGACAAGGGTCGACAGTGGTCTTAAGCCTGAATAATCCACAGGAAGAAACACTAGTTCGAAATGAAGTTTACAGAAAAGGCGTACATATTGAAAGCTGATCCATTTAGCCACGTTGGTGTGAGTATTCGCTTTAAATGTTTCACAGAGAAAATACATAAGATGATAGTTAATATATTAGAAGTCGAAAACTTGTTTTTTTGGAAATCTTCGATTATATACTGGCTTGTATTGTGAGATCTCATTAAATATGTATATGACAGAAAATCATTTGCAATTATCCCACTTCATTCATTCACAAGTACCTTATCATTTTTTGTATAAGATAATGTTCTTATAATTGCTCTGAAACTTAATACTTAGTATTGAGATAAACCCAAGGAAAAACCAGTCAGAGAATGGTATGAGAATGAGTATTTACGGAGACGATGAGAATTTGTCTCGAAAAGGATTAATTCATCAGGAAAAATTACTATAGGCCTCTGAGTCCTTTCATGACCCCGGACATTTAAGAAGTGATAGAGGCGTAATGGAGGATAGAGACAATTAAAGCTTTGCTTCGGGTGTGGGATTATGTAAGAGAGTGGAAAATATACAGTATCGTTCACCCTCAAAAGTTTCAGAACTTAATGACTCATTTATTATTAACTAGCTGTTGCCCAATGATAGTTTTTCTCAAATGTGTTCATACAAACAGTGATTGGTTCAAATTCAATTCTATTCTAATCGGCTTGAGAAAGATAACAGGAACTGCCAGCAACTATTCTGATCTCCCGTTTTTTGCCACCATGTGGAATATCTTTTTTGGATTTCATTTAAGTTTATTATGATGGAAAATGGATACCCATGTTATTATTAAAATCATTTAGGTATTGTCCATTAAATAGGTCTCCCCCTTCAACTTTGGAAAAGGACAAGATATCGAGGCCGGACAAAAGTTGCGTAAAAAGGTTTTATTTTAAGTACTTTTTCATAAAACATTTTTCACGGGGTCTACCAACTTTTCATTAAAAAAAACAGTTATTTCACTTTTGATTGTACTATAAAGCACTACTATAAAGTAGCCGCAAATTTTTCAAGTCGTTTGTGTTTGGTGGCTTGGTTTTGTTTAGGCTGCCACATATGGTGAATTCTGACATAAGTTCTAAGTATTCAGATCCAATTATTCCTATCCTTTCTGATACTCGTCTCTGCAGTAAGAAAGATCAGTTTTTGTGTCACTGTTTGTGACAACTTCTCTATCTTGTGGGATTATTGTTGACTTCATGTCACTATCTACTAGCCTTTTTTTACAGTAACCATTCTGTTGAAGATCTCTCCAAAAGTGTTCTAGTTTCTTTTTGGGACTTTCCTTTGTGATACAGAAACTGAATTCGTAATTCAGGTACGTAATGTATTGTGTGTCCAATGAAGAGTTTTTTCCAACAGTTGGACTACTTAATTACAGCAATAAGACGAAAATTTCCAATTGTTTCAATACTTTTCAATTTACTCAACATTCTAGTGAAGCCTGTTTGTCACGTTCAATTTCTTCCTAACTTTCTAATTTTATGCTCAGTTAAAAAATGGTAACTGAGTTTTTTTGATTCCCGAATGTATATAAAGAACTTGTCAACTTTTTTTTCAGTACCTATGCTATGAATATAGTTTATTTTCTAACCAATTAACAACTAATGAAATGAATCTTGTGACATGTCACTATTCTAAATGAGATTTTCTTTAGAGTGATTACAACTCTGTCCTAGGATAGCTCATATAATGGATTTCTTTCTTCTCTGTGGAGAAATATTACATTTTCAATATCACTAAGTAAACAAAATAACATAAAACAGATCAAACCATATATCCCTTGCTTTTGAAAAATGATGCAAGCTTTCCAAAAGTTTTTTTGAAACAATTTGTATCGTTTCCCGGAAACCCTGAATAATTTCTGTCTTTCTTTCGTCCTTTAAATCATTGATGTTATATGATGTGTTTTAAGAGCATTCACACATTGAATAATATTAATGGTAGGTCTTCATTTCTCGTAGTAGTTAGTAGCTTCTAACATTTAACAAAAATATATTTATGAATTGCTGGATGACAAGTATGTGACGCATAACCGAAGATCAAGTTAGCAATGTACTTTTTACAAAGTAGATCACCTTAGCTATTACTATTGAGCGAAGAAAACGATTGACTCATTTTAAAAGCATATATTTATTTCAGCATACAATGAAAAATATATTTCAAAATTCAAAAACACATATAGTTATGGAATCACCAATGAGCAAACATATTAATTAGTTTACACCAAATCATATCATATATCAAATCCATTACAAAAAACAATCAATTACAGATTTTATTAATGAATAACCTTCCCTTGCAATATCGTATTGATATGCATAAAATTCAAGTAATAACCTAAGCTTTTCTCAAGTTGAAAAATTTCAATATTAAATTCAACTTAGATGAGTTCGAGTAATCACTTCTGTTCAGCGTCCCGAGATGCACTATGAATACTCAATGTTTTCAAATTTTGGGGAATTAAATTATAAATTCGTGAGACCGTCTAAACTTTTATGTTATGGCGATGTAATGTATTACGTATTTCTTCACAAAATGTAATTCGTTTCGATAAATATCCACATAAAATAGTGAAGTGGGGTAAAATCAGGCGAACGCACAGGCCACTCAATTGCACAGTGTTGTAAAGCATACTTTCGCATACCGTTGATCTCAAAACCCAAAAGCAAGAAACGCTTTTGTAAAAAATAATGAACTACATGTTTTCTGTCATAAAATAGTCTCGAATATTTTTACATGAAAGGCAATGGGATGACATACAGAAAGTAATTGGCATCAAACAGGTGAAGTCACAAAAAATCAACTCCAACTTCCTCAAAGCCCCCTCCACAAAAAACTCTCTCACCTGTGTATACTGGGCTCTCGCAATGTCCTGGCCCTGTCGATTGGTTCCTTCCTCGTGCCTCAACATTGCACGTTCAACCCTCGCGAGCGTAGGAGAGTCCAGGATCGCGGCAGGACGATTACTTCGTCCTGCGGGGTGATTTCCCGTGGAATCGTTACCGACCTGCAACTGCATGGCACTGTTCGATAACTCCGCACGCTCACTGATCACATACAGGGGGTTAGACCTGCACTGGCTGACGATAACGGAGAAACTGAGGAAAGAAAGCGCACGATGCTATGGAGTTATCAGTTATCGCGAGTTTCCTTGAAGTGGTCGTGCCGACCGGAATATGCGTATGCGCTGTTCGGAGAGCTACGAGGATTTATCGGCTGTCTCTGGTCGCAGTGGCGGAGGAAAAGGAAGATAAGCGGAGTCGGCTTTTGTTGTCTTGAGAAATGTGAGACTAGTCAATAAATCATACATCTCAATTTGAATCTTGAAAATTAGGACTAGTAACATGTGACTCATATGACAAATGGAGCTAGAGCTTTTGTTAATATTCATCTACATTTTTAAAAGAGGTAATTTTTCTTGGTAAATATTTGTTTTGTGGGCACTCGGCGATTTTGAAAAAAAGAATTGAGTGTACTTACGTATTTTGATGCGTAAATTATTAATCCGAATGAAAAAAGCGGCGCTCTTCCTCATTTACAAAGTAACGGCCCTGAAAAGTTCAGAGAAGGGCAACTTTTGAGCCTTCTTCATCACAAGATAAACTATTTAAAAACACAATCATTTATTCACTAGGTCACCTTTACACCTTATTCCTCCTTAAGTGACCCATTTCAATTCAACAATTAACATTTTCCTTATAAAAAACTTAATGAATTTGAACGAAATTAATGATTTAGTGAAAGTAAGTGAAAATTCAATTCTTTATTTAGTTCAAGTAGGAAAACATTTGAATTACTTTACGAATATTGACAGCATCAGACGTACCAACTATGCCATTAAACTTAAAAACGTAAAATACAGAGATATATAACCAAAAAGCAGTGAAAAATGTCAAGGAAGGAGAAATAAGGTGTAAAGGCGACCTAGGGAATGAATGCTTTTGTTTTTANGCTGAAAAGTTGCCCTTTTCTGAACTTTGAAGGGCCGTAACTTTTTAAATAAGGGAGAGCGCCGCTTTTTTCTTTCGGATTCGTAATCTACGCATCAAAATACGTAAGTACACTCAAAAATTTTTTCAAAATCACTGGGTGCCCTTAAAACGAATATTAACCTTTTCTTTTTCCGAATTAACACCAGAATTATCAACCAAAATATACTATAATTCTGTTCATAATGGTTGAATTTTTCAATCAACTTAACTTCATTTTTTATGTCGACAGTAAGCTGGCACGATTTGAGTACAAAGACTGAGACAAAGATATAAAACATTATGTAAATGCCATAATGAAAACATGCATTTCGAAGTGTTTCTTGGGACTCAAACTGAGACTGAAATTGGCCCATAAAGTGCTTTTTTTCGAAAGAATTGCTCGTATTGAGATTTTTTAGAAAAACTGCATTTCGGCTACCATTGAAGTATCAACCTTTTCTATAATATGACTATTCAGTTCTACAGAAAAATATTCCCACAAAAAAGTATTCAATGTGGAAGAATATTGAAGGATATATTGAATTCTTTAATTTAAGAGACACCTCTGAAACTTCTTTATTGAAATTATTTGAGAAATTCTTGACAATACGTATATACTCCTAAAAATAAATTCAAAGCTAATCACGGATTTTGAACCCATACTGTCCAACTATATAAATAGAAGACATTTATGATAACATTAACAAAGTTTCCAAATGGATTTGATAGAAGTCCAGATAGAAGTCCGAAAACATTTTTTAAAAACTGTGTCTGTGTAGCTATTCAACTCCTATTCTGTTTAGAAATTGATTCACAATCAATTGTGTTCCCGAATCTTTGGACAGAGGGTTAAATGGTGATGCAGAAAAAAATTGAAAGCTAAAGTTGTGTTTGTTAGTAATAAGTCTTCAGTTTCAAAATTATTAGGTAGTGTGGTAGTCGATCACTTGAATTATTTTTGCGAAGAACGGATTTCACCAAATCAACATGATTTCTGTAAAAATAAGTCGACAATTACAAATCTACTTGTCTGTAGGATCTGAATTTCAAATGTCTTCGAGAATAAATATCGAATAGATATCGGAAGTCTCTCAAGGATCTCTATGTGCTCCTATCCTTTTCAATTTCAATTTATTTGACAAAGATACCGAGAACAACAATTTCTCTTATTTCCAGATGACTTGAAACTCTACCGAATAGTAGATTATTGGAATGATCAGAGTTTACTTCAACATGATCTTGATAACCTAACTAGTTGGTGTTAAAAATAATTAACATTTGAATATAGATAAATTTCATTTCATCAGTTTTTTCAGTAAAATACGAAAAGTCAGCTCTTGAAACATAATTAAAAATCTGCCGATGAGATGCATATGTTCTGTTCACGAATCAGAAGCTAAATACACAATTCAGGTGGTTCTTGAACACCTATATATATAATCACTCGTAACTGAAAAGCGTGGCCAAATGACCCAAATATAGATCCAACGGTGAGTGGTTGTGGATTATAGATAAAGTCTATAAAATATTTCATTTCGGAATATATGTCGTTTTATTTATAATTTGAGTAATGTCTTTGCTTTTTGCAAGTATCGGTTTTACTACCTTGCTCATTACATATATTTTGGATTGAGGTAGATATTGTTGACATTGAAATGAATATATTTGAACATTTTCTCACTGGGAATTGTATGTTGCTATCTACAAAGCTAGTGATTCATGTGATATTATCTGACTTGAGGCCTAAGACATCAAGATAGTTATTGAAAAGTCATTTTTTGATAGCGATGATCAAATAATTTCCAGGGAATGAATCTGTGGCCTTGATCTAGGATAATAATAATAAAGTATTTGATTGACATATATAATCTAGAATATGTTCATACAAATGAAACATTGAGTACATATACAATATTCACATTGTTAATGTAGTGAATAAAGCATTCAAATTGAAGGGGTTATATTTTTAGAAGTGATTAATATTTGGAAAAAAAGTTTTGGCTTTCAATTACTTCATCTTGATAAAATGAAATGTGAGAATCTTCGAAAGAAAGGAAGGAAGTCATCAGTTTTAAAAGAAGTAACTTTATACATAGATTGTAGAACATGCAAAGAAATAACAATCAGACACAAACTGTAAGAAAAAGTCCTCCTGAAACAGCTAATTTCATATAAACATTGAATTACACGAAAGAACAATTCTTTCGAAAAAAATACTTTTGTATGAACAATGAATTATACAAAAAACACTTTCCTCTACCCTGTTTATATTCCAAACATTCGTTATAGAATTGAATTAGATATTATTCACAGGATTTCTACACACTATACTAAATGAAAGGTAAAATTTTACCTACATGGAACACTGTCATCCTCACCGGTAGACATCGATGTTTCACAGTAAGACACTTGCCGCTTCAGTACCAATCTGGATGATATTATGAGGAAAAAAAACACAAAAATAATTCATAAATTACGATTTTCATGTCACGAAATAAGTTTGATCTACTTATGTCATCAAAGACATCATAATGACATTCATTCACTTATTTGAATAAATCCCAGTCAGAAGGAATGTTGTTTGAATTGAAAGGGTTGTATTATTAGGAGTGATTAATTTTTGAGAAAGTTTTTGGCTTTCTACTACTCTATCCTGATACAAAAAAATGTGAAAATCTTCCAAAAAAAGGAAGAAAGCAATCAATTTTGAAAGAAGTAACTTTATATGTAGATGTGTAGATCATACAAAGATGTAGGTTAGGTTAGGTTAAGTCCAAAGTGAGTGGGTCTATTCTATCCTCCACCGCAACTCGTAAGGGTTTATTGTGGCTCGCACCTATTCACACTCGAAGAAATAAACCCAGCTTTTTAACGAAGCCGATTTTTTTTGCATGTCGAACTCTAAAAACCCGATTCGGTCCCCAACGTGGCAGGCAAAAAGGATGTGTTCTGCTATTTCATCATTTTCCAAACAGAGCTGACACACACTGTCTTCCGACACCCCGAGTCTCTGCATATGATGATTCAAATGACAGTGATCTGTTAGACATCGTAGTTCGTCCCTACAGTAGTCCAACAACTGTTTGGTATCAAGCTTCGAAGGGTGAATAAACGTCTTGGAGTAATCCAACCATGGAAGAATCTGCAAGAAGTCCATAAATCTTCTTGCCAACCAGGTGTTCAATTTTTATTTGGCAATGTCTTAAGCTATGCCAATGACATGTTCCGTTCAGATGAAGCTGGTTGCAGCACCCTTCTTTGCAATAGAGTCAGCAGCCTCATTGCCTTCCAGGTCAGTATGGCCAGGTATCCAGACCAGAGACAATCTGTTAAGTCTTCCTATCGTGGAGAGTTGTTTTTGGCAATTTACTGCTAATTTAGACGTTGCTCAGTAGGAGCCAAGAGCTTCCAACGCCGCTTGACTGTTCAAAAAATAAACTGTTTGAAATCACATAGTGGCCTAGGCAGGTTGGTATCTCTGTCTTGGGTCTGCGACTGGAAACTCCTGCACCAGAACCGGAAGGTGATTTTGATCCATCTGTGAACCATCAACTATCTGCTCTTGATATTTCCTTTTTCCGGAGGATACAGTCCTCTCTACTCGGAAATAGTACTTTATAAGGCGGATCGTAGTTGACAGTTGAAGGCATGAACAAAGATCATTCCAAGAATGCTGTGAGTTCCAGTGTCAACCAACAGTCTGTTGCACTCCGCATTATATAGATTTGTGCAATGGGCAATGTGCAAACATCTATATGTAGTCCATCTAGCCTCTCTCTCCAGAAAAATGTGAAGAACAGGTAGATCTAGAAGGATCTCTATGACCACTGATGGTATGGTACCACTGATTGCCAGACAAGCCTGTCTCTGTAAGCCAGAGAGCTTCGCCTGGGCTGTAAAGCCTTCGACCACCAGGCAATTAATAATAATAATAATAATATTTATTTTCGGTCGCTAAGAAAATTTACATTTTATGGACCAGTCAGTTAATAAAATACAAACTACATACAATAATACAAACTACAATTGAATATAACAATTTCAAGTTACAAGGAAATACATTTATCAGTTGCTATTTTAGTAAAATCGTCAATACTAATAAGAAAATGCTCAGTCAGTATGTTTTTCAATTTTTACTTAAATATTTTAAACGATAAGTTGCGAAAATAGATGGGTAG